TGATATTTAGAGGATAAAACCGGCTACACTTCACCTGGTTAACATTGTCACACGGAAACGGGCATGGCATGGCGTGGCGAGGGAGGAAGGGTATGCATGTAGGCGGGTTGGCAGTTGCGCCAGATGTCTTTCCGCTCGAGATGCCCCTCCCCGCTTTGACCCTCACCATTCGTTGCACCACGATAGTATGTTAAACCCTGTGGATCTACGCATCAGTATCTGTTTCAAAACCAGATAGGGGCAGCAATCATGTCTTCCCTATGCTGGAGATGTTTGCAAAGTCGTGTTCGGTCAGCGGGGAGAAACCGACAGTTCGACCGTCGCTCTCGACGATACCCACTACGAGCTTCAGCAAGCTGAAGACAGACGCGGTGACTACAGCTGAATTATAGTGAAAGTAGACTCACCGGATCTACCCCCACTGTCTGACCCCTCCCACATCTGCGACTGATGTAAGGACAAAAGTCAACAGGACTGGAGATGAGCGAGGACGCAGGCGGCTGGCGTGACCATCACTCAATGTGCGTACTAACAGCACACCTCGCGAGGTAGGCTCCCGCTTGCGCGGGAGCGACACACACACTGAGTGTCGACCTGAACCTCTCTCCCACCGCCAGTGGAGAGGAATCAGCTGTGATATGGTACACGTAAAATTTGACCTCACAAATACCACTAGAAAGCAATGAGAATGGACAGAGGGAGCGGAGCCGAGACAGTGCAAGTCTGTAGTTCTTCTTTGGGATAGCGATGACTATGGCAGTAGTCGACGGAAGAATCATCGTGAGTAGTCTTAATGAAATTAAAACGGACCGTCCGTGTTTCATTTCACCTGGGAGTTGCAGGATAAAACTCCGGAGGCGATAACACTACGGTGGATGAATCATAACCAGGCCAGATTTGCCGATTCGAGGATGATAAAACTGGTTCGTTAATTTTTTTAAAACTAGTCATAACGAAGTGTTTTGCCATGTTTGACTAAAATTTCCTAATGGGCCGTGGCCTCGGAAGAAAATAGGACCAATCATGTACTGGAGATATCCACTGCCTGGCAAGTAAAAAAGGCAGCATCCTTTCAATTAGGCCTTGGTAAAATCGAAGAAATTCGATGTGCGTTACGGACAGGGTTTTCGCTAAATTTCTCTCATTTATACACCAGATACCATTGGCGGACTGCGATAATCATACCAACATTTGGCAGAAGTGAACTGAATGAGAATTTAGGTTTGTCTAGAGACCAGATATTTGTTTTAAACCGCAATGGAAGCTCTTCGTAACGAAGAAATATATATTGCAGCTTTTTAATGTCCTCAGGACTTGATCTCTAACCTGGAGAGCCCATAGGTACAGATCGAAATTTGATGTGAATATTTGAGCCGAAGTCACTGTGGGATAACTGCGTCATATTCGCAAGCTGCCAGCATGGTACATAATTAAGATAATGTCCTTCTGCCTATACCAATAGCCACCTTGCGGTATAAGATCGAGTCTCCAAAGGCACCGAGTATGGACCATTGTGTCCTCTAACTGATCGGTGTACGCCTATCTTCCATTGTATCTTCCCGATCAAAAAGCGGCAAGACAACGAGCTCGTGGTTCAATAGTTAGGGCGTTTGACTCTGATCAAAAAGGTCGCGAGTTCGAGGCTCGGGTGGTGTACTACCTGGGGTTGGGTATGACTGGTTGACGACGGCTGATAAGCCAGAAATAGCTATCCTAGTCTCCCTTGTTTTTGTCGGTAATGTCCTTAGGGAGAAATATATGGTTAAATTGAATGTCCACAAGCTGACCCTTGATTTCTGCTACTTTTAGATGAACAATATGGACAAGATAAAATTTCCACTTGGTCGGTTAGACTATCATAGGACTGCCCTGAGGACCATAAGTGATGGCAGTACCGACGGTAGCAATAGTATCGAAAGCGTCCGTCTCGGCGGCGGTGGCGGCGAAGAGCCCGCTGTTGCCGAATTCTCTGTCTCCTCCCTATCTCCGTCAACGCAGACCACTGCACTAGAGGACCCCGCCCTGCACGGATTCAAACCTGCCTCGGCGGTAGCACCCAAGTCTGCGGACTTGGCGACAGAGTATGCCGGCATCAATTCAATCACCACCACCGTTGCTACTGCTGCAGGAAACTGGAGAGATTACTTATCAGCCCCGCAGAACCTCCCTACAAAAGATGCGCCGTCGCAGAGTGCGGAACCTACAACAGTTCCTCTCGGTGAATGGAAGGTCTTC